CACGGCTTAACTGTCAATCCAGAAAAAAAAGAAATCTGTCTTTTTACAAGAAGCACAACAATTTCTCAATTCAATCTACCCTCTTTCAAGGGTACAACTACCACACACTCGAGCACTGTCAATTATCTCGACATTATCCTGAATAAAAAACTAAGCTGGAAAGAATACATAGAAATTAGGGCTTCTTAGGTCTTCGATTTTGAAATCCCTGTAGAAGAGCTATTGCCCCTAAATGGGGCTTACGATCTCACTTGGTCAACTTGGTACCTTCGAAAAAATGCCAAATTAAACCTCTGTAACAGGTGTAACGGGTCTGCTTAAAGAGAATTACGGACGCAATGAAAACTACACAATCAAAAGCCCTTGGAGGTTACCTTCGATATCCGACCAATACATATTTAAATGAAGTATGGTGTAATACTTACGGCTAGCCAGCTCATTAATTTAGGCAATTGCAGCCAGACTCCACGTAACTACGGGCATGGTATTATACTCGACTTTGTTAATGAACTCGGGCTAGATTGGCAATGCGACCGAGAAAAGAAGATCCATGAGGAATAAAATACAACGTTTTCATATCCCCGTAGACTAGCAATTACCTTTGCTAATGTCCAGCCTCCAGTAGGTTGAGACGCGATATCTTACAGGGCTCCCAATGCTCCAACTTAATCCACTTAGTGGCTGGATAAGACTTAATTGTTTATAACTCAGGAGCACAACAGTCTAGCGCTCGTGCGCCTCTCTTTTTAACCAATCAACTACTAACTTGTTTTGAGTTTTAAAATAGCCATTAAGATAAAACTATTTTTCATAAAAAAAGAAATAATTCTCAAACAAAATTGTTTAAAAATAAGCTTCGAAATGTTTTTTTATATCAACTGTAATATAATATTATAGTAAAATTATTTTCATTAACGTAATCCTATGTTCTCTATAATATGAGACAAGACAAATATGATCTACTTTTTTATAATCGTTCTGTCTATACTAAGCTGTTCAACGCTTTTAGGACTCATCATGAGCGTAAAATTGTAAAAAAAATTGGTTTTTGTTACCTTACTTTGTAAATTTTTCTAAAAGATACCAAAGCTTAAAACAAGTAAAGAAATTAATTATTTAAAACTATTATATGAAATGTGAATATACATTTTTTTATCTCAAATGCTATATTTTTATCTCGTTTACATTATTATGATATGTTTTGCCCATAACCTCAACTAAAAATATATAAAAAAGCAGACACAACTAACATTTGTTGTTATACATTTCGATTTTCATAAGAATCACAGAACATAATTTTTTCATTTATTTCTAAAATAAATGAGCTTAATGATATTTTTTATTATTCCTACAAAAATCCATGAGTATTTGTATGTGTCAGATTTAGAGCCACTAAAATTTGAAATACTTTCCTATGTTCATACATATGTATATACGTGCTGAGTTCATCAACCATTTTTATATATGTGTATGTATTGTATAATATGTATAACAAATGTACATACTTATATTCATCCAAAATTATTTTCACATCAGTTTTTGTATGCTTTTTGTCTCGCACTTCATGCAACAGGCAGACGGAGTATTTTGTCAATAAAATGTCACGCACAGTCAGTCATCCAACCAGCGTCACACTTCAATTTCAACAACAACATTCCGATTCCACCATTTTTCTCCACATTTTTGCTGGATGCGCCATCCGCGCACCACCCACACTCATAAAATGCAACACACACTCGCGCACACTCACAGTGCCGGTGCATAAACGTCTGCCCGGGGCAACGCTGGTACGGAAGTCACGAAATATAACGCTTTGTCTGCATAGTTGCGTTGTTGTTTTTTCATGTGTTCTTTTGTTTTTGCTAGCGTCCATTGCATCCGTTGGTTTTCATTTTCTATTAAGCATTAGCGACTGCTCGTCAATGTCGTTTACGTATTTTTTATTGTTGTTGTTGTAGTTGTTTTAATTATTCTTAGCGCTTTTGTTGTGCTTTCGGGGCATGACATATGAAGTGGCATTAAATGCCACTGGCTGTGCGCTCTTTACTCACTTACTTACTTACGTAAGTCTTGAGGCACAAAACTTAACAACAATTGATGGGTCGCGCAGCAGTATTTCAGGAATTTCTTTCACAAATTTTTACGTATTCTATTAATTGTTGTTGTTTGTGTTCTTTCCTTGTTTGTCTTCAGTATGTTTTATTAATATTCTTTTGATTCGCCGTGTACAGTGCGCTTTTGAGTGTCACTGCCCTGTGACCTTTTCTCTAAATTTCTCTATGCGCATGTTCTTTTGACAGCTGGTTTAAAACCACTTGCGGCATACTTTTTGCTGTTGCACTGTGGAGTATATTTCCGATTTGTTTAAAATTTATATATGTCTGTATATAATTTTAATGCTTTCTACTGTGCCTAGTATGAAACAAACTGTTTTGAGGGCTGCCAAAATAAAAAATAATATACATATGTATAGAGAACTTTCGTTTTTTTGTAAAAACCATTTTGTCATATGTATGCCACATAGGTATGTATTGTTATTTTACTCCCTGTATATATACATTCGGTAAAATTTACTCCCTTTGTACAAGTAGTTAAATTAAATGACACGTGTCAGCTGTGTGCCTAGCCTAAGTCAATACAGCGGAAATTGTTATATAACGGATTAGTTTTATGAGTTATACTGTTAATGCTGCTCAAAAGCTTTCACAAAAACCAGTTTTCAACCCCAACTGCAGGCTTATTTCGTATGACAATAATATAATAGGTCATGAGGAAATGGAATCGACTTTTTTCCAGTTGAAATCTCATCCTTATTTTAATAGTGATGGGTCTAACATTGCTGAGCAGTTTACTGACCATATGGCCGATTTGGTAAAACAATATAATAAGAACAGAACTATATCTATTAATTTAAAACAAAGTAAGAGTTTATACTATAGAGGCATAATATTTTTTATAAAAATGCGAATAGACTTGTTAAATATAAAAATATAGTAATAACCGGGTTCGAAAAATTCTACGCCATTTGGTCTATCCCAAAAAGCCTTTCTTTCAAGCTTCAAAAATTTAACCCCTCATTAATTTGTATGTCTTTATAGCTTCTTCGCATAGCGTTTCAGTCAACCAAACTCCTTAACTTGGCAAGCGGAAATTGAAAGGATGTTTGTATTGGCGGCACTACTGGTCATATTACAGACCCTCCAACTTATTCTTCACTCCGCTGACAGCATTCCTTGAGCTACTTTGCTTACGCAAGAAGCGTCGCATCCACCTTCGGCAGGCGTTGTTGGCAATATGGTATTGCGATTTTCCGTTTAATGCGGAAATTACGTGAAAGCAGCCAAGTATTGATTTTCTGTCGCCTTTGAATGAGCCATACTAACAAGCAACATATTTGCATTTTGCCGCATTGAGCGCAACCAACATTCACTTGTATATTTCCTTTCATCAAAAGAAGTGGTGAAACGTCAAAGCTTGAAGATTTTTGTAAGTTGTTACACAATACTATGTTGCTATGAGTAGCTTCTTGGGGACAAAAGAGCGTTTGCAAAACTTGAGATCGATATCTCAAAATCTGAGGACTAGTTCGCGTATATACAGACAGACAGACGGACATAGCTTAATCGGCTCTGGTACTTTACAGGGCTTCCGACGTTTCTTTCTGGATGTTACAAACTTTGTGGCAAACCTTATAGACCCTGTTCAGGGTATAAATATAGATGCTAGAGTTAGCTAGAATACAACAAAATAAAATCATACATGAAAGTAAAGAAACGGTTTATTTAATCGAGTTAATATAAGGTTCTATATATTATATTAGGTGTAGTGAAACGAACTCCATTATTTTTTTAATATATATCGTTATTTATCTATATCTCATGTTGTATAAGTCCAATCTCGGCTAGATGGCGTTAGAAAGATGACATTGCGTACTAAAAAATCTTTTCTGACAGTTTTGTGATTGGTTGATTCAGTTCTGTTTGAGCACGCGTCAAAGATCGACACTAGCAAAGGAAAAATAATGGAATTCGCCAAGTCCACAAATCGATTACGATTGTCCAGTACCTAAACAAATAATGACCTTATTGAAGGGATATGACCGGAGAGCAATCGCTGTATACTCAAGCACTGCAATAATATTGATAACATCTCAAGATATTAAATACAGGAACATCTATGATACTCGAAAATATTTTCTTACAATATTTGTCTTGTTTTGCCGCCTTCCTTTCGTGTTCATTCCTTCTCAAAGTTTTCTCATTTCATCCGCACTTGGAGCGGCCATCAACCCTCTTCAACTAATTGCAATCGTTTATCGTCGTACCGAAAATGCATCGGTTCTAAAAACCATTGTTCAGAACATTCAAGAGACACTTGGTAAAAGGTAGGAGTGTGCATGCTCCAGAATTGAATTCACTAGTGGGAGGTGAACGAGCATGTACTAGAAACGACATAATGGGGTTATTTGTGGTGTTTAATGAGATTATTTCCAATTCATTAGCAAATGAGCGTCAGCTCGATGTGATAGGGAGGTACATATGTACAAATATGTGTATGAATATGGGCGTATAAAGGGAGCATGAACTTTACGACTAAGAAAGATGACAATTGATGCATGTCAAATGATTGACGGGTCTACAAACACATATGGGGATGTAAATAACTGTAAATTAATTAAACTGCTCACCAAATGTTGTTGTAAAATGATTATTTATTACATGCAAATAAGTGTTTAACAATCTTAATCTCTCCTTTTCTTTACAGATACGCAAAAATCGAAAAAGCAGTTCAACTATTAAATTATAAAATGTGCAGTGATTTATAGTGGATTTAAAGTGAATTTTTAGTGAAATAGCAAATTGTTTTCCACACGAAATATTTGTTTGAGAGAAAAGTGTTTTTAATACCACAAATTGTCCGTAGAACCCAATTATTCTATTGCGCTTGTGTAATTTATCCACACATGTAATATTAATTTAAATTCTTCCCGCCTTCACCAGCTATAAAAGCAACATAAATGTGGCAGTGTTAAAAATCGAAGAAAAATATACCGACAAACAAGTGTTAAATTGGTGTTCGCACACTAAACTCTGTGCGCAATATTGAAACATATTGTAAATTAACATTTGGATAGAGAATAATTACAACAACAACTAAGCGTACTAATAGCCAAACGCAAACGTACAGCTACAAAAGCATCAGCAAAAGCCGTAAAATGTTGCCGCCACCGCGTTTAAACGCCATGAAATGGTTAACCCTGCTCGCAGCGATCGCTGCCTTCTGTGAGTATACATTTTGTTTGTATGTAGGGAATATTATATTTTAACATGTGTTACTGATGTATCAGCCTATTTATGAGTCCCGCTTCCTGTCTGCAGATGGAAGAGAATATCCAAATTGTGCCTAGTTCAAGTTTTCCGAATTCCTTCTGCATATTGCTATGATTTCAGCAATTTTCCACGAATTTCCTTGTACCGATTTTAGCGTAATCAATAAAGTATGTATATTAATATTATATTTAGAACATTATATTAGCCCTTTTAGTGCCGGGCGAAATAGAGGTGCCTATGCGAAAAAAAACCGGCCGATTTCACAGTTTTACAAGGGTTCGGAAAAATGCTTGTAAAAACCAAACGAGAAACAATATTTACATGATTCAAAAAGCAGCGAATTGTGGATGAAATGCAGAACTAAATTCGAACTCATATGAAAATTATAGAAAAAACAAAGGTATAAACGTTTGTAAGTGAATTGAATTTGAGATCTCTTGAAGAAAACTTATTTGCACATACAAACAGTCATCTTTTCATCAAATATTTATATTTATATACAACTATCGCATATAGCTGCCATACAAACTGAACGATTAAACTAAAGTCCTTCTATGGAAAACTCTTATATTTGTCAAGGTATCTTCATAAAATTTAGTACATATTATTATCCAAAGCATTGATACAATTTCCGAAGATATTGTTCAGATGGGACCACTATAGTTTATAGCTGCCATCCAAACTGAGCGATCATAATCAGAATAAAGATGATCACTATGATATAGTGATCTGATCTCAACAATTTCTTCGTTAACATTTTTTCTTGTTTTAATTGAAAAATAAAATGTATTAAGAGTTTTTGAATATCGATAAAACGTATGCTGTTCTAATTTTTTGCAGAATAACATTGAGAATTTGTAACAATTTCTGTATGTATGCAGCTAAAATGCATTTGCTAAATCTGCAACCGCAGCGCAATATCACCGTTACCCATTTATACCAAAACCACAATCACCGGTTACGATGCCTTTCTCTCTAGTTATCAAAATAAGCCGGTTGCCTTATATAAACATATATACACATCACACCTACATGTGAATGCAGTCACATACACACATGTGCACATACATATACCATATAATATAACGAGTATGTTGTCACATCCGAAATGCAGCTACCGTCAGCTGCTCATAAAACCGTTTGAATGACGGATGAATTGGTGGATTTGTCGCTGTCGTTTTGTTTTACTAGCGATTATCTTGACAACCTCTACTACACATTTTTGGGCCGCATGCTTGGTCTGCTCCCTACCCACATGCCCTACTGCCGTTTTGCATAATACCCCCTCGCACTAGTACTTTGCTCTGCTCTTTAGTGCGCTATTTGTTTGATAGCCTCAATTGTGTTACAAATCTTTCATCGTACACTCAGTATATGCATTGAGGGCTTTTACTTTTTGCTCTCTGAACGCCATATAAATTGTAAGTCATACATATCTAAGTTTAGGCACTAGTCTACTCAGTGCATTCATGTGTTGTAGATAGTATGAAAGTATGTAAATATTTGAAAATATGTGCATATGTAAATACATACGATTATATTATATATACATGTATGGTTAGTTCCACCAAATGTCGTTTTAATCTGTGGAAACTTGAGAAAATACTTGAAGTTGGCAAGTGTTGCACAGCTTTGCTTAATTCAAGAAAATATTTATCAAGAGCCAGTAGACGAGTGCATGGGCCAGACTCCAAATATACATACATATGTACGTACCTATGTATTTGTTTTATAAATAGAGCATGCGATATGGTTGGGGAAATAAATGATGCTGGAGCTTTTGAATATTTACAACAAACAAGACGGTCTATTTTCAACGATTTATATTTTTAGTCGTAAGGCGACGTTACAAATTGTATGAAGTCACATTTTACAAAGTTATGAGGGAGCAGCTGGTACTTGGAATATACTTTTTTATTTGAAAGGTTTTTCTAAATTCATAGTAAATGCAGTAATTTTGATTTCAATAAAAATGTGTACTATTCATACACACTTGTACTTCTCTTTTTAAGAAATTCGGACTAGAAGAAAGCAGCAAGAATATTTGGTTCAGTTATGGTTCAGGTCCTGTTTTTTAACCATTAAGAAGTCCAGGTTACTTGTGCGTCTTAAATATATGTACATATAAGTATTGTATTTTATAGCATTAAAACAATGAAGCTCTATACTTTAGAACCTTATCTTATACAAGCGGAGTTAGTACGAGAAGACTCTGCGATTAATTTCCTCGTCTGTACGATAAAATCTCCAACTTTGACTCAAAATTTTATGAAGTTCTGATTCTTCCGGCCTGAATCACCATTTTAGTACATACGCCTTATAAATTCCGTCAATTTCCCAGTCCTAGTCCCAGTAAAGATGTTTTGTAAATATACGTTGAATGCTAATCCGAACAACATCAAATGATTTTTTACTATGAGTGATCCGTCTATGTGATCAAGTATACTTATTATATACTTTTTAAAATTTCTAGTGATAACATTATTTAAATAAAATATGGTACTTCATAAATTGTTGAGTATGTTGTAAAATCACCCTAAATGTACCGTATATAAAGTGGTGAAAGAACAGTGTGTTTCGAGTGGTGGGTTCATGCTAAACAACAAAGGCTAAAACTTTTCCAAAAATTAGTCACTAGTCTTTCCATATAACCCACGGCGAATATTAGGAGAAGCCGGCCAAACATCTTGTAGATGTATAGCGCCAATGTTATATGTACTTTATTTTATTTACGTAGCCATATATACTTACATACATAGGTATATGTATATATGTATAATTTTTTAAGTAAAAGAAGTACAACAATGATATTTATTGTTCTATCAAACTTAACCAAACTTAAATAGGGACGAAAAAGCAAGGAAATAAGACAAGCATAGTTTATGCTCTGAGTATTTATAAAAAAAATTTAGCACTGTGCACCTAAAGCTTTTCTACCGTTCCCACGGTTGTATTTGAGCAGCGCTCGTTTTAAGTATTCAACGTGAAAGACGACTTTAAAGCTACTTGTTTGGCAAAGAACGACCGGTCAGTCATAAAGTAGCGAAATGTGTATTTCGGTGATAATGACATTCTTGAGTTATTACTTAAGAATATACACATGATAGGCCGAAACACGTCAAAGAAGCGAACGCCATATATTAAAACAAAAAAAATTAGAAATAAAAAATTGCAGGAGTTCATTTTTAGCTTTTGGCACCCCTCTTAGCAAATTTAATGCGCAATTCTACGAAATCTTGGCTACATTTTTAGATTCTCTTTATTTGACGATTATGTAGATAATTAACAATTTTTATTTATATTTTTATATCGTATACAGTTTATATGAAGCATTATTCATTTTCAAAAGTAGTTGTTAAAAGGTGTTGATATTTTAGAAGACTGCTGAAATATAATATGTTTTTATAAAACTGAGTAAGAGCATACGAAATAAATGTTAATAAAAAGACGGAAATAATTGTTTGATTTTTTTAACACAAACATTATTATTAAATCATACTCAAGACCAAGGATGTGGAAACATAGATACTTAGACCTCGCGTGGTTCGAATTCAGCCTTAAAAATTATTCGCGAATGCATTCACCAGATTTCAACGGAAGTTTAAAATAAGCAAAAAATTTCAACGACGCAAAAAATGTTATTCCAAGTGTTTAATGTGGAATCGTTTAGTGGCGACTCTTTTGTAAAGGCATTACAGGAATAAAAGTGGGCAAAAGTCTAGAAGCAGGATGTTTTCAGTTAATCAATATGATGAAGATGAGCATTGAATCTTCCAGCAAGACTCTGCTTTAGCACACAAGGCAAAAACCTCCCAGCAATGGTTCAGAAGCAATAACACTGATTTCATAGCGGATTGGCCGTCTGGAAGTGCAGATTTGAATCCATTAGACTACAGTTTGTGACATAGATGGAGAAGATTGCCTGTCGAATAATCCACGGAAATTTAGAGAGTTTCAAAAAATCTTTGGTTCGAGCAGCGTCGTTAATACCAATAGAAACTGTGCGTGCTACTATTGGTCAATGGCCGAATGGTTTGAGGGCTTGTTTGAAAGCAAGAAGTGACCAATTCGAATATAATTTTGTACATCGCTTGTTTAATACATTTACTAATAAGTAAAACTAACTTTATTAAAAAATGTATTGTATTTTAATTCTTATAACGGGCTGAACTTTTAGCAGAACTTATAGTAGGACTAACTGCAATAACAAATAATTTTATTTTTTTCTTGCAACTGAGTTTTTGGAACAAAAATATGATTATGCGATAATATGAATCAGCTTACTACTAAGCTGTTGTTGACATTAAAATACCACACTACTTTTTGTTATTTATTGCAATGCCAAAGTCAGAATCATATAGCACTAAAAAATAATTTGATTAAATATTTTGCCTTCTGGTGAATCGAGGCTTTTTAAGAATATTGAATATTTTATAAATTGATGATAATGGCATTTAAGACAGTCCGAAAAAGTCGGCCAGTTGCGTCCATTAGAACATACATTTCAATAAAAATAAAGTTTTTATAATACCCTCATGGTTTCTCAAGTGTTTGATATTAAGATAGCAGGTGCTCATTCCTCAATGAGTTTAGCATACAAATTATGCCGACAAGTTATGTCCAAATAAAGACGAACCATAGTTTGATAATTTGGTTAAATTTTTTATTTGCCAGAGATACAAGTATAAATCTTGCTTACAAAGGCACATACTTCCGCTGTTAAAAGCTTTTTGGGACTAATTTAAAACTGACAACCATTTTTGAATGTTTATTTGTAATTTTGTGACCTTGTTCGAATTGAAGAGTTTGATAACCAACAAAAGTAGTTTGCAACTGGTTTGCAACACTAACTCTACTTAAATATTGGTTATTATATAAAATAATTTTTTTTAAATGCAAATACAAAAGTGTGTTATATTTTAATTTTCGCTTTTTAGAATTAACATATTTCA